AAATACATGTACATGTAGTAGACACCCCCTCCTATCTTACTACAGAGGATTTCTGTGAACAAATATTTCTAGCTTGATTGTTGAATTTAACATTTTTCCTTTTGAAAGAAAGTTTCAGGGTTTGTAAAATGGAGCGATAACTACTTTTTGTTTCCAGATTTGCTGCTGTGGGTCAGTACATGTAAACATACCGGTATAATGCCAGGTAAGTCAAAATGGAACAGACTTCTCTTTTTATCAAAATTACAAGTACGCTCTAATTCCTAACAAACTGACTTTAATATAAATGTAACTTTCTTGAAATGTCCACCCACCTGTCCGGCCATACAGCAAATACTCCATGTAAGATCTGGGACGTGTGTAGAATATGGTGCCTCTTAAGCTGACAAAGACAATCAAGCCCTCTACAAATAGACATGCTGTCAGGATCACTATGTATCCCAAGATGTAATTACGAAGGTTGGAGGAACAAGATTCGCTTGTAGGATTGTAAATACCTAGGATGACTGAGAGGCCAATCAGCCTGAAAGAAAACCACAAAATGTTAGTCATTTCAGCAATGAAAAGTGGTATAAAACCATTCTGTAGTTATTGAACAGAAAATGTAGAATTTTGACTATAGCAGCAAACATACATGTACATACATGTACATGTTCATGCAGTGGTATGTCAAAGACACACATGAAAAGTATGGTAGATCTTGCTGCCAAGCTGGCTAAGCAGAATAAGGAAAATCTTGTTAACAAATATGGCCTGACTTATGATGGCTAACAAGAGTCCCTAAAACCTTTTGAGTCTCCGTAATAAATATTCAACCAACACTGACCGGTATTTGTTGTGTCATTCAACAAAAACGGAATGGTCCCTACAAACCGGATACATTGTGTCCAATATGAAGCAAGCATCAAGACTTGTTATTTTAAATCTTACTAACTATTTTACATGTATTTTATGTCATGGTTACATTCATTGTCTAAACCATTTACATGTACATGTACAGCATAAGGTATCACAAGTATACACTAGAATACACTATTTTAATCAAGTACATGTATGCAGTTAGTGAGTGTTTTGATATCATTAATCATTTGTACTGGTAGTTTATTTGTTGGTAATTTATGTTTTAATGAGCTGTCCAAACATAGTGTAATTGCTTTTTGAAGGATAAATAAAGTATTTTGAATTGAATTTGAATTGGATTGGATGGCTGAATGGGTACCAGTAGGCCTTCCTGACTAGGGGACAGTTTTGTCAGGAAAGTTGGAACAGTGTTTCGGGGACAAGAATTCATCCCCATACCTTTTTTGGCCCTAACAACATCCCTGTGTATATCTCAACATGTACATGTACTGTACGTACCGGTAGTCACCACACCCCTGTAACAAATTTCTATGGGCACATTTATGGGTGGGCTTTTGCGGTGTTCAAAGGACAATTTCCTTTGTTCAGAAAGTTGGAACTGCATTTCCAGGACAAAAATTTGCCCCCAATTTTTATTTTCATGATTCTATTGAACTCCTACGGGTAGTTGTTTCTCGTTTAATTAATAACATCACTGAATCAACTGATTGCTCCATTGTGCTGGTTTAATTAATAACATCAC